CACTCTCTGCCTCGTCCAGTGGCAGTCCCGCTGGCTTTGTGCTCCCTCTCCCAGCACTGGGGTCTGGAAACTGCCTCCCTATATGGAACCACTAAAGGTCCTGAACAGCCACAGCAACCTTGAGAAAACAAAGTGGGAGGTATCATGCTCCCTGATATCAAACAGTACTACAAAGCTACAATAATCAGAACGGCATGGTACTGGGATAAAAACAAACACATAGATCAGTGATGCAGAGGTAAACCCACGCCTACACGGTCAATTAATTGAAGACAAAGGAGGCAAGGATACACACTAGGGTAAAGACAGTCCATTCAATAAATGGTGCTGGGAACACTGGACCGACACGTGCAAAAGAATGAAACTGGATCACTTCTTATACCACATACAAGAATAAACTCAAAATGGATTAAAGACTTAAATGTATGACCCAAAACCATAAAACTCCTCCAAGAAAACATAGGCAGTAAACTCTAACATTGCTCTTAGTTATAATTTTTTCTGATATATCTCATCAGGCAAGGCAAACAAAAGAAAAACAAATGGAACCACATCAAGTTAAAAAGTTTTTGCACAGCCAAGGAAACCATCAACAAAATGAAAAGACAGCCAGCCTACTGAATGGGAGGAGGTATTCACCAATGGTACATCTGATAAGGGGTTAATATCCAAAATACATGAAGAATTCATACAACTGGGCCGGCCGAGTGGCGCGATGGTTAAGAACTGGCTTGGGACGCCAGAGGTCCCCGGTTTGGATCCCACATATGAGGGCCAGTGACACTGCCCTCCACAGCTAAGATGCTGAACAACAGCTCAACCTGGAGCTGGGCTGCTGTGAGTCGCCGGCGACAGTGTAGGCTGCAGCCCCTGTGGCAGTGGGTTGCCATAGGCTACTGTGTGTAGCCAGCAGCCAGCGTGAGTGGCCACCAGAAGCCGGCGACTGATCTGCCTCGCCAGGGAAGAGCGCAATGATGGTGCCAACTTGGGCCAGTGAAGCAACTCCACAACTAGACTGAAGAACAAAACGACAGCAACTTGTCTGTTCCCCTTCCCCCAATTCCCCAGCGCTGTTCCCATCCCCCCAATTCCCCAATAAAAATCTTTAAAAAAACCCAAAAAACAACAAAACAAAAAATTCATACAACTTAACACCAAAAGAAACAAACGATCCAATTTAAAAATGGGCAGAAGGGCCGGCCGAGTGGCACGTTGGTTAAGTGTTGACTTGGGAGCGCGACCTCTGAGCAGCAGGGCCCCGGTTTGGATCCCACATATGAGGGCCAGTGACACTGCCCTCCACAGCTAAGATGCTGAACAACAGCTCAACCTGGAGCTGGGATGCTGTTCCCCTTCCCCGATTCCCCAGCGCTGTTCCCCTCCCCCAATTCCCCAATAAAATCTTTTAGAAAATAAGTAAATAAGAAAATAAATAAATAAAAATGGGCAGAGATGAGACATTTCTCCAAAGAGTACATATAGATGGCTAACAGACATATGAGAAAATGGTCAACATCACTCATCATTACAAAAACGCAAATCAAAACCATAATGTGATACCACCTCAGTCCTGTCAGAATGGCATCATCAATAAATCAACAAACAAGTGTTGGTGAGGCTGTGGAGAAAAGGGAACCCTCCTGTACTGTTGGTGGGATTGCTAATTGGTGCAGCCACTATGGAAAACAGCGTGGAGGTTCCTCAAAAAACTAAAAATAGAACTACCTTATGATCCACCAATTCCACTCCTGGGTATTTATCTGAAGAAACCCAAAACACTAATTCAAAAAAACGTAAGCACCCCTGTGTTCATTGCAGAGTTATTTACAATAGCCAAGATATGGGAACAACCTAAGTGTCCATCAATGGATGACTGGATAAAGAAGGTGTGGTCATATTAATATATACCATGGAACATTACTTGGCTATAAAAATAAATGAAGTCTTACCATTTCGACGGCATGGGTGGACCTAGAGGGTATTATGCTGAGTAAAATACGTCAGACAGAGAAAGACAAATATGGTATGATCTCACTTACATGTGGAATTAAAAACAAATGAATAAACAAAATAGAAACAGACTCACAGATGCACAGAACAAACTGATGGTTGCCAGAAGGGAGGAGAGTGTGTGTGTGGGGGAATGTAAATAGAAATACTAAAACAATAAAATTAACTAGCTGAGGAAAATGTGACACGAAGAAGCACGTGTGACCTGGGCTTCCTCGCAGTGGCCCTTCAGGATAGCTGAGCTCCTCACAGGGTGACTCGGCTCCAGGGCACGGGATCTGTTATCAAGGTGGGAGCTGCATGCCGGACCCACAACAGTGCCCCCCGCAAGAAGCACGGGCTGCCTCTATTCCAACTCCGTAAACAGGAGGCCGTTTTGGTAGCAGTCCGTCCTCACGGGGCCCTGTGTGCGCCCTGCGGCAGCTCACGGCACACGCATCCTGCTCACCCTCTAGCCAGGGATTGTCTGCGGGACCACGTGCGCGCTCCCACACACGCAGCCACATGCTTGGTCTGAAGCATTAAGTCCCTATGAGCGCAGACCTACTGGAAATGTCTGTGGCCGCACCTGCCACCCTGGGGCCGCGTCTTCTAAAGTTTCAACAGTGGGTCCAAAATGGACTGACCGCCTGGGACCGTCTGGATGAGGCCCTGGAACTCACGTGACTTCAGCTGTCATTCTGTGCAGGGACTTGGAGGTTTTGTTTAACACAGTGAGCTGTCGGCCAAGTTTTTCTTCTTTTAAAAAAACATATTCATGACGTTAAGAAATAGTAATCCTTTCTGGTACCATAATATTCATTTGTTATTTTGATTTTAATGGCATGAGTATGTAAGAACATTTTTAGTGTTTCTTTTCTAGCTGCTATTTCAGTTACCACACTGTGAAAAGGTGACACTAAACATGATCTGTGTGAGGACTCCCGAAGGCTGACCCGAATGGGGGTGACCTTATCAGGAATCTGAGGGGCCCCCCAGGAAGACTGGCAGTGGAGCGGATGTCCTGCAGGCATGCCTTGGCCTCAGTTTTCCCACCTAATCATGTAACGGTGGTGTGAGGATGTGCCTGCGTCTATGGCATGGGTGGGCTGACGCCAGGAGGCCCCAGCACCCTCTACCTTCCTTTATCCCTCCACTCGGTACTGAGCCTCCCCGGCCCAAATCCACCTACTGTTCCTGAGAACTGGAAATAGTAAAGTGACACCCCGAGGACAGGTCCAAGAGAACATCAGGGCTGGGTCTTTCAGGACAGACAGGTGGAGTTTATAGGACGACAGGAGAAGAGCATTCCGGGGGCGCAAGTGTGCAGACGCTAAACACAGTGGAGGTGGCAGGGCCATGTGCTGCGTGGAGCAGGGGTGTGGAAGGTGGCAGGTGTGGTGTGTGTGTGGGGGGAGTGGCGCTCAGTGCTGGGGCACCTGGGGTCCCCCTTACCAATCACAGCTGACACGCCCTGCTTACATCACAGCTGGAGCCCTGTGATTCCTCTCAGCAGCCAACACAGCCCGAGGACACCGGCGCAGAGGTGGTGGGACTGCCTCTAGCACAGCCTTGATTGTCCTCGGGGAGAACGAGGCTGGGCAGGGTCTCCAGGGCCTGCGCAAGAGCAGGCCCCACCTTGGACCCTTCCCCATGTTTGCTCCCAAGGCTCGGCTGCCCAGCGAGCCCAGTGCCCAGCCAGCCCTGACCCTGCCTCAGCAAGATGGGGATGAGGCCCAGCCCAGGGCTCGGATTCCCAGGGACTGGGGTCGCTGCCCTTCTCGAGGACATCACGCCTGTCATGGTCATGGCCCAGCCTCAGTTTCTCCCTTTGCTGGACCCCCCAGGAGCAAAGGGACATGCTCTTCTCCTCCCACCTAGGAAAAGGAATAAAACAAGCCAGCTCTGGGCCTCGCACTTGTGTGGCTACTGCCCCAGCCTCGTGCCCCTGAAAACCAGCTCCATTGGGCTCTGGTCAATGACACCTCAGGGATGGAGTCCCCGGGCCTGTCTTGACCGCAGTAGCCCTGCCTCGGCCAGCTGCTCGGGGCCTCACGCCTCCGGGCTGCCCTCACCCCCCACCCTCAGCACCAGGTTCTGGGGCTCGAATCTGTCCTGCCTACACTCGCTCCTGTGTGGACCCACAGGCTTGTGCGGGGCCTTCTGTCCATGAGCAGCAACCCCAAATGTCGGACGCTTCAGCTGGTGTCAGCCAGCCACCCGCCACCAGCCCCCAGGAGGGGCAGCCCTCCCTTCCCAGTGCTCTGACCAGAGGCTCTGAGGCTTCGCCTCCTGCTTCTCCTACCTGCATCGCGTCCGTCCGTCGGGAAGCCCTGTGGGTCCAACCGTCCGATCACTTCAGAGGCCGGGCCAGGCCATCTCCGCACAGCAGGGCCCTCGCCGCTGCCCCTTCACTCAGGGACAGGCCATCTCCTTAAGGTGTGCACAGAAGCAGGCTCTCCAAGAGGCTGGTGGCACTGAGTGCTACAGAAGGATCTAGGAGGAAGCGACCGCAGCCAGGAGGCAGCTCCCCGCGCACGCCTCGAGCTCCCAGGAAAGGGCCCAAGGGGTTCCTTTCCACTTTAACTACTACTAGTGTTGCTACTGACTTATACCCACCCAGCTTAACATTTGTAGCCTTTCATTGTTTTATGAGTTTACAACCCCCCCCCCCCCGAAACTGGATGGTTACCACCTCCAAGGCCATATGTACTCCCAGCCTGCCGAACCCCCTCCTCCCCGCTTCGCTCTGCCTCCCTCAGCAGGTAGGTTTGAATGCAATGTCCCTTTATCCCCAGGCATTCCCTGGCGCTGCCCCGCCCTGCTGTTTAGCACTTACCACTTCTCACACCAAGCCCTCCGAGTTATCTCCTGGAACTCTATCCTGGGGCCTGGGCCCTGGAGAGGCTCCAAGGCTGGTGGCCCAGCCCTCTGGGGGGACAGCCACCTGCTCCCCCACCCATGCACCCCATCACCCCCAGCAGAAAGCAACCAGACGAGGTCTTCTGCTGTACTAATGTATTCCATCTTTCAAAAAGAAAGACATGATTTTAATATTACTTAACAATATGTTAAAAAGTAGCCAGGCAGGCCTCCGTGTTAATCCAGTCGTACACTCTACAGACTTGATGGTGTGAGTACTGGGCGGGTTTTGTTTTGGAACTCTCACTCTGCGAGGGGTCTTACACAGGCTGGCTACAAGTCAGGGGTTCAGACACAAACGGCGCGACGTGTACACTCTTAACCAGTAGATTGTGGAGAACGGATAGCCCGCCCCGCCCACCCGCCCCGGTGGGAGCTGAGTACGGCGATGCCCCAGTGGACGGGGACAGATGACAGGACAGGGCGAGATGCACAGGCGACAGAGCCACGTGGAGGATGCGAACGCGTCTCTGGCCACGGCCCAGGCCTCCGAGGCGAGGCCGCAGGGGATAAGGTCTGGCGGGGGCCACTGTCCCAGTCCGATGGCACCGAGCTACGCCAGAGGCTCACAGACTACACGCACACGAGCTAGCAATGTGGGTCGAGCAGCACATCCTCGGTCCGGGGCTCGGGTGCAGCAGCCCACCTGGCACCACTGGGCGTGCACAGCGGCTCCGGGCCTGGCCCACCTCCAGCGCACGCGCGTCCCTCTAGGCAGTCCTCATTCAGTGGGCAGCAAAGGTGGCTTTTTTCAAGCTAAAATTGGACCAGTTGATAGACAGTCTTTGTCGGGTCTGTCTGGCAGAATCCAAGCAGAATCTGAAAGACAAAAAACCAAACAGTCACGGGGGAATGTCCCTCCAGCTGGTGTCCTCCAGGGGGCTCGGTGCAGGGCCTCACACCTTGCTGCACTGCTGTCCCTGGGTCCCCACCTTCAGGACACTGGCCGGTGCCCCAAATGTCCTCTGGTGCTTTGTTAGCCTTCTCAACTTGCTCTGCAAGGAGTCGCCCAAGGGAAGTTTCTGGTGAGCCCAGCTGAGAAGCTGGGGCTGGGCAGACCTAGGCAGGCTCTGCTGCCACCACTACCTGCCCTTTTTAATGTGCTGAGCCCTGGAGAAGCCAGCCAGTCCTCACCGAGCCATGAATTCACACGTGGGTGCGACTGGAAACGAGAATTTTTATGGGGACACAGGTGACAGCATGCCTGCCCTGCCCCTTCCCGGCCCTCGGGGGAGTGGCCAGTACACATGGTGGCTGCAGGCTGAGGCTGCCTCTCCAGGCTGCGGGCCTCCAGCTCCCCATCCAGCTCTGAACATGCTGCACACTGAGCTGCATTTAGAAAAGACCCCATATTGCCACCGGCTTCCCCGGCAACAATGAACAAGTTTTGTGTTAAATGAAAGAAAGGGTATTTTCTTTCCCTTGCATAATTTCAGAAGTTGTAATTTCTCAGCTCTAATTTGGGTAGCAGAAATCTGAATTACACCTGAACACGGCTGCCACGTGTCTGGCAGGTGAATTCACTCAGTGCACTCGCTCACACTGGGGTTAGATCATACGCCAAAGTCTGTGTGCTGCTTGTCCAGGGCCTCCGTCCAGGTGTAAGGAAGGGCCGCGCCTCCTCCCACAACCAGAATCCTTGTTCGCTGGCCACCGCTGGTCAAACCCTGAGCCCTAGTCATGTCACCTTTTAAACTCTCTGGCAGCTCCCACTCTGCCCCTACTGTCTTGCCCTGAACGCTGGCAACACCCTTCAACCACGTACAACGGTAACTGTGCCCCCGTCCTCCCTTTCCGACACAGCAGCCAGACCGCTCGGGAAGCGCATCCCGCCCAGGCTCCAGCCCGTAGTGAACAGCTGACCCCACAGCGCAGGGCAGTGCCCAAGCTGCTCCCCATGCCCCAGGCCCAGTGTGCCCTGGCTTTGCCTGCGCCTCCCACCCACTCCTCTCGCCTGTGCCCCGGATGCCACCTCCCCTCAGGCCTCCGTGTTTTCACGCATCATGTACAGAACACGTGGACGCAGGCAACTGACCTCAGGCCACGAGCCCCGGCACTGCCAGCCCTGGGTCACCCGCTGTCCCTCCCAGCAGGAGCCACTGTCCTGGAGTTTGGTTCACCGACTCCCGGGCCAGCCCTCAGGGTGTTGTGCTCCTTTCTGGACTTAGACAGATGGAGCCGCACTGGACTACTTAGTGCTTCTTGCATGCACCATGTTGTGAGCCAGTGCTCACGTTTGTGGCTAGGAAGATGCACCACACTGCAGGGACAGACAAGCGGACCAGGCTGCTCGAGGGTCAGCCCGCTGGAGCGTGTGCACAGGCGTGGAATGCTGGGTCACGGGGGGCCGGCCAACTACGACTTGACTAGATCCCACCAAACTCTTCTCCAAAGTGGATTGAAGCAATCTCTGTGCTCCCAGAAGTGGTGGGGACAGCTGCTGCCCTCTGCTTTCCCGCGGGTGACCAGTCAGGCGAAGACCTCGCGGCAGTTTACTGGGATACCCCGTCACTGTGTCTGTGCATGCGTCAACAGGTCGGTCATTTTCTTCCAGTTCTGTGATGCTGGTCCTTTGCGACGTGCTGCAAATACTCTTCTCACTTTCTTTACAGCAAGCTGTTGACTTTCATGTTTATTCATCAATCTTTGTTTGCTTGATATTTTGAAGAAATCTTTCCCTACTGAGGTGAAAAAGATATTCACCTACATTACAAATTAAGAAGGTTTGCTTTTGACACTTAAAACCTTAACTCATCTGGAGCTGACCTTGAGTATGGTGTGAGGTAGGGAATCCAATGTCAAAGTCTAGACAACAACTCTCATTTCACACATGCCTTCATTTCCAGTGACCGGCCAGCCGGCTTCTGTCACACACCACGCTCGGTGTTTGCACAGGTCTGGCTCTGGGCCCCGTGCTCGGCACCAGTACAATGGTTTCATAGCCATGTCTTCACCACAAAGGAGCCGCCTCTCTCTTCTGGGAGAAGCTTAGCAATCCCTTACGAGTTCTTTAACACACATAGAAGGGTGAATGAGACAAATGAGTGATATGCAGGGTTAATTATAAACACTGTGGATCAAGCCGGGGGATGCCACCAGTCCAGGTGACCCCTACAGTGCTCTCTTTAGTCACAGCCCTCCCTACTCTCCTCAGAAGCAAGCACCACTCTGGCTTTTTATGTTGTTGATTTCCTTTTCTTTATAGTCTTGACACCTATGTATGTCTCTCTGAACAATATACTTAATTCCTTAAAATATACTTTATTTAGGTGTAATTTATATACAATAAATTGTGGTTAGTGTGAACACACAGTGCTGCCAAATACACACCTCCAGGTAGCCATCACCCCAGGAAAGCGCAGAGTATGAGCACGAGGGCCTCCCATTTCCTTGTGTCCCCCTGTTGTCGTCTCCTTGCCGCCCTGGCCCTGGACAAACAACGATGCTTTTCATAGCTGAGGAGTGTCCATGAGATGGATACAGCACAGTTCATCTGTTCACCTGTTGTGGACATGTGGGTTGTTCCCAGTTTGGGGCTGTTACAAATGCAACTCCTGGGAATGTTCACATACAGCCTACATGGGGGCACGCTCACTTCTCGCCGGCTGACACCCAGGAGTGGAGCTGCTGGATTGAATGGTACTATATTGACCAACGTACTTTAGCTTTGCCTATTTTGAACTTCATGTAAATAAAGAGTATTATGTATATTCTTGTGCTCTGTGACGTTTCACATTCATCCACGGTGCACGTTGCTCTAGTTTGCTCCTTTTTGTTGCTCTGTAACATCCACTGTGTGACTGTATCACAACATGTCCATTTCAACGTTTTAGAAACATGGAAGTTCCACACAGCCCTTCTTGGGTTTTCCATCTACAGGTAAGTTTTGGGAAACTTGATAGCTTCATATTAACTCTTCCTATCAATGAATATAGGGTTTCTGGGACTTAGGCATTCTTTAATGTTGTTCAGTAAAGTTTCATGGTCTTCTGTGCACAAGTTTGTGCAACTTTAGATTTACTCATGGATACTACACCGATTTTGGTACTATTATAAACGCTGTCTCTATTTAAACTAGATTTTCGGATTATTGATGGTAGGGAGAAAAATAAGTAACTTCTGTACACTGATCCTATAGCCAGTCTCTTGCTAAACTGTCCAATATATTCTTTTGTAATTTCCTGTGTAGACAATCAGATCACCTGTACAACGGAATTTTATTTCCTCCTTTCCACTCCTTAAGCCTTTAATTTCTTTTTTTGTTATTTTATTGGGGATTTGGGGGAGGGGACAGCTTTGGCGAATTGGGGAAGGGGAACAGACAAGTTGCTGTCCTTGTGTTCTTCAGTCTAGTTGTGGAGGACGTCGCTTCACTGGCCCATGTTGGTATTGTGATCATTGCGCTCTTCCCGGGAGAGGAAGATCAGCTGCAGGCCACTGGATGGCCACTCACGGCCACTCATGCTGGCTGCCATCCACTCATGCTGGCTGCCTGCCACTCACGGTAGCTTACGGCAGCCCAGCTCCAGGTCGAGCTATTGTTCACCATCTTAGCTGTAGAGGGCACAGAGTCACTGGCCCATGTGGGAACCGAACCGGTGGCCCTGCTGCTCAGAGCTCACGCTCCCAAGCCAACTCCTAACCAACAAGCCACTCGGCCGGCCCAAGCCTTTAATTTCTTGTCTTGTCTTTTTGCCTGAACGTTGAACAGAAGCAATACTAGAGAGCATTTTGTTTTGCATGTGATTCCACTCCTTTCCCATTCTGGAAAATGTTTCGTGTAGATTCCTCTCTCTCTTGGTAAATCCCTTTTTCAGATTAAGGGTATTTACTTCTACTGCTAGTTTACAATTTTTTTTAAAATTATAAATGGATACTAAGATTTTACCAAATGTTTTTCTGAGTCCACTGAAATGAAATGGTTCTTCTTTAATATACTAATGTAGCAAATAGCCTTGTGGATTCCCTAATATTAAACAGTCCTGGCATTCATTTCTGGGATAACCCAGTTTGGTCATATATTGCTTTTTTTAAATTAAAAAATCAGGTCACAGGTTTTTGAAATTTTATTGGGGAACAGTGTGTTTTTCCAAAACCCATCAGCTCTAAGTCAAGTAGTTGTTTCAATCTAGTAGTTGTGGAGGGCGCAGCTCCTTGGCCCATGTGGGAATCGAACCGATAACCTTGGTATTATGAGCCTGCACTCTAACCACCTGAGCTAACTGGCTGCCCCGGTCCTATATTGCTTTTTAAAATACACTGTTAGATTTGGAATGTGAGAATTTTCTTGATGATTGTTACATCTAATATTCATGAGTGAAACAAATCTGTAACTTTTCATCTTTCCTGGTACTGTGTTTGGCAGATTTCAGTATCAAAATTTTACTTCTCTCCTGAGACAAAGTGGGGAGTCCTCTCTTGTGCTTCCTGTCTCTCACTTCAATTCTCTGTTAGAACCTGAACAAGACCAGATAATCTGTTTTTTTGAAATTTCAGGGGAATTCTCTGTAAAACTGTCAGACTGTAAAACTGGGAAGACTTATATCTACTGCCTTAATTTCTTTAATAGTTACTTAACAATTCAGATTATTTTTTTATTGGGTTGATTTTGTATTTTATTTAAGTTTTTAAATTAAATGTTGTGAAGTTGTTCCCAGTATTCTTTTTTTTTTTTTTTTTTAAAGAACAGTGCTGGGGAATTGGGGGAAGGGGAACAGACAAGTTGCTGTC